AGATTGTTTAATGAAATTCCATTTGAGTCGGAAGTCGGTTGAGATTCCAGCAATTGGGAGTGCTGAGGGTACAAGTCGTGCTGACCCTCTCTATACTGTGACAGTATCGGCCGCGTGCCTATTATCTAGCCTTAAGCAAAACGATTTCTTTTGTTGCGAAAACTGCAACGTGGGCGTTTTTTACTCCGGGCCATAGGCAACTGCTTCATTCACATTTTACAATAAATCTGTCCTTCTCTTTCCAGATTAGATACTCCTCGATCTATTTTCCATCACCACAAAACCGATTATCTCCGCCAGTAATACGGGTCCCAGATACAAGATTAATTATCCTCTGATGATTAATAGCCAGATGCTAATAGCTAGACTATTTTAAATCATTCCAACAGCGATTAAGGAAAATGGCCGGGTGCTGCGGGTTATAAACTTTATACAGCTTTCGATCCTTTTCAAAACATTAATGCTTCGGTATTGTTACGACTGTGTTTGCGGATATTTTTTGGGAATAAATCTATCTTAGAGAGTTGGCTCTCGGTTGATGCAATAAGCGCGCATAAGCCGCGTACGTAGCCCGTTATGGGACAACAAATAAATCAGTTAAGTAGGGAAGCGTGTACAGATGTAAAAGGAAGAGGAAAAAATACCAAGGATGACAATTTCCAAAACAGGGAGGAGAGCCGAAACATAATTCAACATAACTCCTACTCGAGCAAATCTGCCTCGGAGGCGTCATTCTGAGAAAAACCATTTTATTGCTTCTGCCATTTACTGCTGTCCTATCGGGTGACCCACCAATAGTCACAGTAGTTCATTTGTCCACTATCGTCTCATCTCCCGGCGCTGGATGCTTGTTGGTGGTCCCGTGAAACCGCTGCAAATTCCCGCTGCTTCAACCCCAAGTGGAAAAACCGCAATAAAAACACTTGTTGCAGTCCAGTTACCCAACTTGCCTAATTGGTGTTGTCTTCGCTCGTCCTCTGTTGTTTTTCTGCACTCGATAGCCATGCAATAAGACTTAAGTGGATTTTCCATCAGGCGGTACCGGCTGCCAGGCAATAAAATCAATTATCTGAATCTATGCCAACCTCCAAGAGAGATCTCCTCTTACTACTGTGCAGCCATAAATTTATTTTCAGAAAACTTTACAAGACGTAACAATAATACAATTCCCTACCATTGTCTAAATTACCTGCAGAAAGCATTCTCCACTTCTTAAATGCTGAAACAGATTGCCTCGGCTACTTAATAGTAAAACGTAATAAGGATCGAGCCTTTTTTTGGCGGTCGAAAACAGAAAGCTTAAATTTATTTTTTTTTCAGCCCTACGTTTAAACCGGGAAGGACCATTAGAGTAAAATCAGAAGTTCAAACACGAAGTAAACCCTCACTTACCTGTTAACACGTAAGAAATGAACTTAAATGCGCACGAAACATTTTGACGCCCTTTGGATGGGACAAGTTCCCACGGCACGCTGGCCCAGTTGAAAAACCTTTGAAAGTTTTAGAAGGTTGAGAAATGGGAGGAGAAGCCGGTGGGAACGCGTCCTTAGTGCATGTTTCCTCAAACGGTTGAGGTCAGAAGCGCAGATTAAAACTTCTGCCACCCCCACGTTTTCTTTCCGGGGTGTTCGACGACAACTTTCCGGCATAACATCAACCGTTTTGAACATTTTAGGCTATGTATACGAAAAAGCGTACACGATCGCTGAAGAAGCAAGTTTTAGCCATGAAAATTTTCGCAACTTTCTCAGATTCTCACAATTAACAAAGATCGAATTACAGTTTTGTTTATCGTTATCATCCTAAATAGTTAATACTCTTCGAGTTTTAATAAGGGAAAAATGTTATAAGACAACAAATAAATCGTTAGGAGGAGAATATATTTTTTAAAAAAATTCCTACAATAGTCATTTAAAACAAAATTACTTTGTTTTGAACACCCTTTTAAATAAACCCATACATTTTGTTTTTGTAAACACCTGTAAGCTAACTCTTTTATGACTTAAGATTACCCAATTTTGGTTGTTTTCCTCTCTTAAAAAGGTAGATCAAAGGAAATGAAACTATTTTTATTGACGATCAACAAACAAGAAACAATTAAACAAAACAATCTCATTGTAAAGGGGTCGTAAACAAATACAATTCACTCTTAGGTAACTCCGTACTCAAAATGCACGAATAACAAGAAACTTTTGTAATGGGCTCAGATTATTTTGTCAAAATAACGATAATAGCATGTAAAGAAGAAAAATTGGCGTTTATTCTTAGAAAGAAGTGATTGTCCCGGATCAGAAGCAGACGAGAATGGACACCCACACAAACAAAGTAAGGAGTATGTGACTGGAAGATAACCGCAACATCAGGGTGGAGTTTTGGAGAGACGGCACGTGTACTATACATGGTCCGACCATACAACACTATGAGTAATGATTGTAGCTCAGAGAAGTAATGTAACCTACAGGTGGTAACAGGAACTCGATACCTTCTATTTTCAATTCATTCCAATCACGAATTACATTTGATTCCTCGCAGTGAAAGAAAAGAAAAAGTGAAGTCTCTTTTGTTGATCGTGAAGTATTACCTTTTCTCGTGTCAGCAATACGGGTCCGGTTTAAATATATCGATATGCCCTATAAAAGAGAAGGTTGGTGTGCACCAGTTAGCGTGAGCAACATATGAAAACCATTCGCCCTTTTTGCATTGTTAAATAGACATTTTCATTCTTTTCTAGTCATTCATTCTCATTTTTCGGGCGAATTTTATTCACACGAATTCTTATGTACGTACACATTGAATCATATAAAAAAAAACAACGGTAACTTGGAAGGTTGAATTTCCCTGGAAAATTTTTACTTCAAAGCGAATTAATGCCACTTCCGTAGACAAAACTTTCAGGTAATAATCCTTTTTGCAAATGAAGATATTTGCGATATGATTCACGAATTTGAGAAACGAGAATAGTCAGCGGATGTGCCCACCTAGGAAACAGGAAAATGTTATGAAGATGCATCAATAACCAGTTATATATCAAATTGGTGTTTCCGCTGCATCGGGGGTCCTTGTTACAATCCTCATAAACAGCTGGCGATTAATGTTCTTTCTAACTCCCAAATACTCCGCTGGAAATTGCCAGGCCACCCACAAGTTTATTAGTCAGGCTCTACCCAATTTTTAGTCGTGGGAATCAAAGAAATTTACCTATTCATGAACCAATTAAATAGTTCCAAAATATCGAAGGAGGTAAACGTAGAAGAAAAAAAATAACAGATTTTCGTTGAAACGGGCGGTAAAAACGTACAGATAAAACAAAGTTATAGCCCTTTATAAATGGGTCATAACATATAAATATAGCTATTGTTATTCTCGACGTATCAATGAATACGTAATGAATAAGACAACAGAAATAAGCACGGCCCACTCGTTAAATGTATACTTTGCCTGGATTGGTCCCCGAGGAGACCTCACACGTGGTACGCGTCACGTGACTTGACGCCTATGTGTCCGAGTGGAAAAGATAAAACTGTCCCCAAATAGGATGTGACGAGAATAGTGGACAGAGAGCACCTGGGCCTCCACTGGGTGGAGAAATGGGGTGTACCTATTTTACTGTTCTCACCTTATTGTGCACAAGACGTGCACGGCATAGTAGCCACTCGAACTTAAGCCCAAATTGAGTTTTTTACGACTTCCTCTCAAACCGGAGAATACCATGCGATGATATCATAACTTAATTTATTACTGCTTTCAAACCGAATGAGATTTCGGATATCCAATTGGCATTTATATTTATTATATATATATATAAACAAAGTGTGTCGTATGAGATAAGTTTGATAAATCGATATCATTTGACGTTTAATTCGCAGAAAAACGAACTTAATTCCAGTGGGCTACTCGGGTACGTAATTCAAACCGATTATCTGCCTGATCAACTTCTTAAGCTCCAAAAAATGGCTACACTCGATCCATTAAATTTAGTAATCAAACGAGCGTTACTCAAAAAGGGAGCGAAGGACCAAACAAATAACACATTCGATCAACTTCTGTTTAATTAATAAAGATAACGCACAATTATATAACTAAAAGTAATCGCTAGTTTAAAAAATCAATGAAGTGTCAAAGGTCTTCGTAGTAACAATTTATCACGGCGTTAATTATTCTAATATTTGGGGCTTACACGTTTTGGCCAAGTTCGACGAGAGGACACTAGACTTTGACATCCCATTCATTTATTAACCGTAGTGTAATAGATAAATTTTCTTTAAAACATTTAATCTTCGATTCCATCTATTTTTTTACACCAAGAGACACCGTACGGGACCACCAAATTCGAGAGAATTTGTCCAGATTCGGGATCGATAAGAGCCGACCGCCTTATCTGCCACCCATCTTTACTATTGTTTCCATCTTACGATTTATGACGCGAATAAACAATGAGAACGTCGCGGGATGTCACAACGAACCCAACTCGTCTCCTTTGCAACTCTTCCAACAAAACAGTTTCCTCTGACGTAAATAATTGTAAAATTCTGAAAGTTGAAAATGGATCGACGACATCATTCTCTACTTTTTTCTATTCTCCTTTATTCGGGCACGCCCCTAAAACCAATATAAATTACTGAAAACTGCCATAATGATCCTTTGAAAACTGGCACGGGGGGTTAATATCTATTAACATTTTTCGCCACCAATCATCCGTGCACAGTTTCGACCAATAGAATTATTCGTTTCTGTATCTTAAGCAGTTAGAAAAAAAGCCAACGACAGCCGCTCCGACGCATTTACTATCACTTTTAAGACGTTTAACCCACTAAGAAATGTTCCTTTCTCACGAAATTGAGTTGGAAACATACCCACCGCCATCTGTTGGATGAGAGGGGAAATATTTGATCGAAATTCTTTTATCATATGTTGTTGTTATTGCACAATCGAATTTATTAAAATTATGCAATCGATATCGAAGACTGAACATATCTGCGGTCATATCTATCGGTAAATTATCTTATCCTTTGATGTACAAAGTTCTAGTTATACACCCGAACAGATTGAAAAGCAGTTTTTTTTTGTACCCGTAAAATTAAATTTCTTAATATTCGTTGTTAGTGTTTAGTATTGTTTAAAACGGTTTTCTAAAGTTTAAGACATGACGCTGTTAAACGCTTCCATGAGTTTTTTCCTTTATGTTGAAGAATTCTTCCTTATTTGTTTAGTGCTCCCTTGGGTGCCATCTTACAGGTAAAGCTCCATTTCTATGTTAATTCTCTGTTTAGTTACAGTGTTAAACAAAAAGTTTTTTGTATTTTATAGATTAGGAGAATTATTGAATTTTGCCAAAAGGTTTCGTTTACCTTTAAATTTAACATTTACCATGTACTTCACCTTTTCCATAGTTTTTATTGTGGTAAATATTGTAGGTAAATCACTTCTTTTTAAGTTCTATTGACGGAAACTAAAGTTTGTTGAGAAATGTTTTATCATTTATTTAATTATTAATCTATGATAATGGCGTATAAATGCAATATCTAAACTTTCAGCTTTAGAACTTCACGTTTTGCAAGTAAACGAGATGGTGAGAAACTCATTTGATACATTTAAATGGAATTTGTTTCACGCGCTTAAGTTTTGCATGTAAGAAACAATTAGAATTCATAATTGTCCATCTATTAATGAGATGTAGTATTTTTTATCGATTTATATTCCGTGCAGAATTATCCACAGAGTTTTATCTTTGAGCATGAATGAAGCTTCGCTTCGTAAGTCGACAAAATCATTAGAAGCTAACCTAAAAACAATTTTAGAGGATAAAAATGTAAGTATTGTAATTATTATAAAACAGAACATAACAGAAGTAAAAATCAAAGATATAAACTTTCCTTTACAGAAAGAGGTATCAAAAGACGATAAAGAAATACAATTTTTAAAGGAAGAGTTACAAAGAACTAAAAATGGTTTGTTTATTATTATATATATATTTTTTTTAAGTTAAATTCTTAAATTTGTTTCCATTTTTACAGAACTGAATACAACAAAAAATTTACTAGCAAATTATCAGTCCAGTAAGAACTTAAAATAAAGTTGTTTACAAATAGTTAAATAGTGTTCAACAATTGTTAATAATAATAAAACGTTTCGTTCAACATGATTTTATTAAGTATGCAAACAAATTTTACATATTTTGTGCAATTTTGGGAAAGTAAGGCATATATTATTGAGTTTGCATCGATTTACAATTAACTATAAAAATAAAATATGAAAATAAATATATTAAAGTTGGAATATATATAACATATTCTCAACGATAAAAAAAATATTTGTGTCTATTTTATAATTTTTGCAAGTTCCTCTTGCTAAACATTGTTCAATATTTAATCAATATTAACAATCAACATAACAGAAAAATTGTAATTAGCAACTTTGGTATTTTGATCATTATACGTATATATATATATATAACCATTTGATCAATATATATAATATATAAGCCTATTTATATCTTGCTGTGACTAGTGATAAAAATATTTAAGTAGTTCTAACGATTTGTTTAACAATAACTGATGTAAATCCATAGAAATTTCTTTTATACATAATTTCTATAAATTCGTGTCTGTGTATATTTCTAAAAATTTAAAATTTTTTGTACAATAGAACATGATTTCATACTTAATTATATTTTTCTTATGGTGAAAATTTTGTTAAACTTTGATTGGTGATCGATTATATAAGTCATATTTTCTACAGAGTTCAGTGCTGATATTAGAGAAAATTCAAATTTTTTTTTTTCCAAAATGGTTGGAATTATTATTATTATTATATAATTTAATTTCTTAATTGTAATAGTAAGTCAGCAATTGCCAGATTGTCCGTTTCTGAGCTTGCAAAGTAGCTTGGTCTTGCAATCGTCAGCGCATGGATCTTTATAATAGTCGCTCATTTTTCTATAATATCTGGAAAATTAAGTATTCGTATTAGTAAAAGCACGAATTTATAACTTCTTTAAATGGAATCGGAAGGAGATAAAAGAATTAAAATTACCTATAAAATTGTTGAAATGCTTTATCATCATTGTCAAATCTTTTCAAAAGTTTATCCCATTCAGATGGAAGAAGAGAAGACATATTGAAAGCCTTTTTTGCGGAATATTCGAACTTCCATACTGGTTTATCCGTCAAATTTGCTTCAGTTAGGTTTAGAAAGTAAGTTTCGTGATCAAGAACAACCTAAGAGTATTACAAATATTGAAAACAAATGTATTGGACAAGGGGCCGTCTATTAATCACGTGTACAGTTTTAATTAATTAAGCTAATTTTGCTCATACCAAGTGTATCATTATACACAGTTTGAAGAACTGTGTATAATGATACACTTTTGACAAACTCCCTGCTCTTTAATTACAAGTACACAAACCGTTCACAAACTCTACATTAAAGAAAAGACTAAAAAAATTCTGCACATATTTTTAACTGATAGTTTACTCACATGACTAGTAAAGTAAGCTTGTAAGACAAATTCCCGTATGCCACTGATACAGCTAAAAAAGGTCCATGTAGGCAACACCTCCCTCTCCGGTACAGTACAATGATGAACTTTTCGCAACCCCCCTCTCTCTCCCCGTTAAACTGTACACGTAATTAATGGACGGACCTAATACTTTATTAGCTTGTAACTTGAACTTACTCGACTACTATTTGCATAATTTCCATCGACGGTATAAATTCTATAACCGGGGTTTACGCTGTTATAAGTTGTTATACTCGGTCCAATATACGCTACATTAATTGCTGTAGCAGTATTTGTATCGTAGAACACTTCGAATTCGTCCATGTGAGTGTGACCAAAAAATTGAGCCGTTACTGTATCATTATATCTAAAATAATGACGCAATTCAGATTAATATTACAAATTAATAAATTTCAAACAATAATGTTATATAATTACCTTTGAATTATTTTATAATAATTACGACTCCACACTCTCAAACAATCGCTACTACCTGGCGGTATGTGTCCAATAATGTGAACCTAATGAAATGATCAGCATCACTAGTTTAACTAGAACACTAGAACTAAATTATTTCGTATATTCTAAAGCAGTGTTTCTCAACCTCTAACGAATCGTCGCCCCCTTCAATAAAACCGTTACCTATTATCGCCCCTTCACTTCAAAATTCCGATGCCGAGGACCAAGACTAACGCTAAATTCGTACTGCATTGAAGAGACTAGTGACAAGTATAATGTTATTTGTTTAATTATTGTACGATATAACAAATAAAATAGCTAATTATTCTTAATATATTGTTTTACTATATCGCCCAGAAAATTGTTTTTCGCCCCCAAAATATAAATTGTTACTAATCGCCCCCTCAACATGGAAAAACGCCCACATGGGGGCGACATCGCCCCCGTTGAGAAACACTGTTCTAAAGCATGAAATGATTAGAAAAAATTAAATTACTTTTTCTCCTTTTAGTTCGGCCGTTTGTAATTCATTAACGAGCCATCGAAGCTGCTGAGCCGGGTCTGTCGTGTTTATTAGCAACCACCTTCGGAATTTTAAATTTTAATAATTATAGAATAATAGAAATTACTAAACACATTCATATTATTTTGCATTTTATAACATCGAATTGAAATATTTTGTAATCCTCTATTATATATTTATATAATTCTTATCTAAATAATGATGATGTATCATATACAGTACATTTTATATACTATATATCAAAAAGGATTTAAATCGTGTCAATTCATCAAAGGTTTTTTTCATTTGAAGTAGACTGTAGAGTTGTGTTATTGATAAACTCATGAATGAAATGATTCTTACAGTGCTGTCATTCTTAGATATTAAAATAATAGGGTAAACAACAAAACAGAAACAAAACCAAAATAACTATAATTTTGAGAGCGTTTTCTACCATAGTAATTCACTATATATTCATAAATAAAGAATATTTGATTCTTATTTTATAAATTATATTTTTCTTAAGTCGTATTCAGATAAATTACTTTGAGATAAGATTGTTTGCAAAATTTAGAAGTTTCAACATTAAATACAAACAACAAAATTTCAAATTAAACAAGTAATATAATGAGCCTATAAAAGATATAATAAAAGAAATTAGTATAATTAATTAAAATGAAGAAAAAGTATTTAGTGATAAAAGTGTTTATTACATTATTAATATTGATACAAAAATGACAAAAATACAAGCTAGTACTAATACTTCATAGCATTTTCAATTTAACAGAAATATGTAAGACTGTTAACTGCTATAAAAGTTGTGATGGTTTCGGTCACTTTTGATTTTAACTTGCTGCATTTATTTATTTTGAATATAATGAAGATCACATTCCACATATAATCCAAACAAACCCATAAAAAATGTAAAATACATAAAAGCATTATACACTTATTTTTAGTTTCCCTATTCAACCAGTTGAAACTTATATATTTCCTTGCATATAACCTGCAGAAAATTGCTAGAATAAAAATAAGACCATTGTTTAACTCCTATCTATGAGAGCAGCTGTTACTCAATTGGTGAGAGTTTGTAATTGTAATTTAAAATTGGCATATAACTTGCCTTGTTGCTCCGCATCTCATTTCAAATTGACATTTTAAAGAAGATAACCTACAAATTATAAGGCATATTGGAAACGTTTTTGTTTTAGTGTTTATCAATAGTAATATAGAACTTAATACTCATTCAGTATTGCTATTAGTAAGAACAAAATATAATCAGAATAAGCAGGCTTATAATGAGAAAAGACAAAACATTATAAGATAATATGCTGCTTATTTGTTATATTTTAGAATGAAATATTTCATATTGCATTTTATAGCATAGTATTCTTATAAGTTCTTAAAATGGCACAATTTATACTAAGTTATTATCTTAGTTCTTTTTAAATATATAGCTGAATCTATAATGTTTTTATTTAAAAAATATAAAAAAAAAAACTTATTCAGAAAAATACTTATAGATTACATGTTTCTAATATAAAATATTTTAATAAATTTTAAATTTTATTCTCTTTTTTTTGAGAATGTTTACTTAATTATTTTTCTGTTTTGTTATTATTAAAAGGTGAAAGATCAATTTTTTTGTTTAAAAAAATTTTGAAGATTATACTGACTGATCTAAGAGTCAAAAATACAATTTTCTATGTATCAACATTTACTAAATATCTGCTTAACAAATACAGAATAATTAATTTGAAAGATTCGTCATAAAATTATTTCAGCTTAAAAATATACTCTTGAATGTAGATTTTATCAGAATATTCAGATATACAGAGTGGTAAAGAAAGTCACTTATACAGAATATAGAATGTACCCAAAGTTAATTTGTTCTTATCAGGAACATCAGACCAATGGGAAAATAAAGGGAATTTTCATCTTAATAGATGAAATCAGCATGAATGTATAGCAGCATGTCATACTTTCTATAGAGCATGAATGTATAGCAGCATGTCATACTTTCTATAGAGACTATAGGTTCAATTATCAAAGTATTTAGTATTCAAAATTTCTTTATTTCAGATTTTCTAAAATAAGACAAATCAAAAAGTATGAAATCTTAATCTACAACTCATCTCAACATTTTTGAGCATTCCTAGAATCAACAACTAGCATAGTTTGGTCATCCACCCTAGAGTTCTTATCTATAGTCTTTCGTGGAATAAGAATACAGTCAATATTCATTTGCCTGTACAGTATAAGTGAAGAAAAAGTTTTATGACCATTACAAAGTAGAACATTATATATATAGAAAGTATATTAAAAATTATTAGATACATTATAACAGTTCAAACATATTTAAAATGTCTGACATTTTTACAAGAATGCAAGATTAAAAAAAAAAATAAAACTACAAATGTCACCACATCATGTGATGTGATGTCTGAATTTCAGAAGTTTTTATTCTGATCTATTTTGTTCAAGTTTGTTAAATAAAACAGAACAGCTTTATTGCTTAGCTACAGCAGCACAGTGATAGCCATTCAAAATAATTGCATTAGCTCCATTCTTATTCTTGAAAATACTATAAATTATAACATTAACATCATAAAATACATTCTTTTAAACTTCCTTTACAAGATCATATTGTATTCTGGTTTATCTTTACAAATTCCATTCCATACGATTTGAAAAATAAATTTGGATCATTTATATAGAACAGAACTTAGATATTAAAAAAATACTTCCTCCAAAACAAAAAACTATCATTAGAATCTGAAATTCATAATATTGAAATGTATCATAATTTCCTGCATATAACCTGCAAAACAAATTGCTTAGAACATAAATAAAACCTTTGCCTAAACCACTCCTGAAGTGGCTGTTAAAAACCTGGTATGATATGCAGTTTAAAAGATATAAGCTTAAACACTCCATTTTCTTTATTCCCATTAAGCAGTTCTCATTGTAGATGTAATTATAGAATAACTGAAACAGAAAAACCAAAAGGCAGTATTTGAGATGGATTATCTAACCTGCATTGTGTCAGAACACAAAAATTCTTTTTTTCTTCTTTCATTTCTATTTTATTTATCAAATAATATTAACTAATTATATAATAGCAGCAATAAAAATGATAAATGCTAAAATAAAATTATTTGCTATATAATTTTTTTTTTGAGTGTAATACATTATTGAATATTATTGACAAGTTTGAAACAATCAATTTGCTCAGTCTCTATAAAGAACCAGCATCCAATAAACTCAACAACCAGCTTCTACATAACACTTTGCAAACAAATTATTCACCTTGGCCATCTGGTAATCTCTAAGACATCAGACTACTACTCTAAGAGGCCAGGACTGAATCTGGATGGATGAAAATTCCCCAGAGTTTTTCAAGAGTGGTTTGTCCTAGATATGTCAATTCTCATCATCCCACACCATGTGACTGCCCCCATTATGGGGTTGGCAAAACTCAATGGATATGATTAAAAAAAGGCCCTCTTAGTGCCCATAGGACAAAGAGTTTTAAAAAATGTTTAAAGAAGGGCATTACTAGAAACTTAGCAGTTCAAGTAGGAATGTATAAATTAAAGCATGAATTAATGCACAGAAAAGGAACAGGAGAGGACTAAAAAAAGGCATAAATATACATGCCTTAAGTGATTTTGAGAAAAGTTATGATGACAGATGAATATTTCTGAAACAAGCAAAGCATTTTTCTTGCTTTTCTAAATTTGCTATTGGTTCTCTTTGTGCTCTCTGAGCAGTAAGGGGCCTAAAACCATAAAAAAAAGCAATGTTTAGACACAGGAAAAACTGTTATACAAGTTTGTGCAGGTAATCTAACATATATGGGACTGGAACAGTGTCAGATTAAGGAGATTATTGTAAGTAAAGTAAATTCAATAGTTTAATTATTAGAAAAAAAACATTTGTTTATTTGCTAGTACATTGTATTAATCATAAACATTCATAGATCACATTGTTGTAATTCAGAGTTCTCAAAATTAATTATCAGTCTTTTTAAAATTATTTTCAATTGACTTTTCTGTTTTGTCATTGAGTGCACTACCATCACTGGTAATCAGTGTCCCAAGTTGATTGATTCCCTCTAAAATAAATGAGAAATTGAAGTGACCATGGTTGGTATATTATTTTTGGTGGAAAATTTCAGGGATTGATTTTCTTATTAATATCTATACAGTATTGTGTTATAAGTTACTGTCTACTTTTTCAAGCAGCACGAGATGTCAAGTCTAGAAATCCTTATCATCATACCCAAGCTCAGGATTGATATCATTCCATTGTTAGTGAGATGATGTTCAAACTTAATGGAAACTTGAGTTTGAACTAGTGGGATTTGGCACCAATGATGGTAATACCTGTGAGTTGACTAGTTTTGGATTACTGGATGTATTGAACTAGCTTTTGGTGGTTTTCCAATCTGATATCAAAACAGTACCACATAACCATTTACTAAAAGCTTGACCATACCTGCTATAGACATAATTGAAAATATTTATTAATTTAATCAATAACTTGTTAAATTCTTTATATTTATAAAACAGTCTCACTAAATCAATATCAAATAGTACCCAGCAAATCACCAAGCAGATAAATAACACCTTATTCTTGCTGAGAAATATATTTATTTCAAAAACAAACGTTTTCAGCCTGATTTACAGGCCATCCTCAGGTTGAGAATGAAATTGGAACTAAAGCATTCTATTAATAGAATACAAAATATTATAGTACAAAATATTTTGTATTCTATTTTTTAAAAATATTTTGTAATATATTTTACAAAATATTTCATTAACAGAATACAAAAAATTTTGTATTCTATTAATGGAATGCTTTAGTTCCAATTTTGTTCTCAACCTGAGGATGGCCTGTAAATTAGGCTGAAAACGTTTGTTTTTGAAATAAATATATTTCTCAGCAAGGATAAGGTGTTATTTATCTGTCTCACTAAATCTTTGAAATATCTCATTTCATTGGCAACAGTTTCCTCGAAGTTCATGAATGATGAAACAATTTGCACAAAGCAACTTGACAAGTTTTTTGAGTAAGTCT